TATATATATATATTGCGATAAAATCAATGAAACTGTGTGCAGATACATCAAGCTTCTTTAGCATCTATTTCGCTATGGCATATCCACATATATAATGTCAAGAAGATGCAGTAGAAATTGTAATTAGGTATTTGTTGCCCAAAAACGCAATAACAGAAAGCACCAAAAGATATTCAGACCTTGTTCCCATTATGAATTTATATACTCAAGTCTCTATTCCCATGTATATTAGAATTTTATTTTCCATTAGATTTCATTGAGATGGAATGGTTGAAAGTATAAATGTAATTTTCAGATCTGTACTTCATATCCGCTTTTTTTGTTTTATCCAGTTATTCATAATATTTTTGAGATGTTAATATCAATGTGAATAAATTTTAACTCCTGTTAACAGGAGTTGACTATAGCCAACAGAAACGAAAAACAGTCCCATGTAAAAGTGTTCTTTAGTTTCGTAATTAATTATGATGTAGCTTGCAGAAGGAGTTACAATTATCAGGAATTCAAACATTTTGTATAGAAAAAATGGAGGTGGCATGTGGATGTTAATCCACAGTCAAACTGAAACAAAAGTATCATTATATAAGGGTTTACTACCAGAAGTGAGTTCCTGAAATAGTTGATTTTTTTGACTTTTGGGTAGCCATATGTACTAAAGAAAACTGAAGTGCTAACTTGTGACTTCAGATATGTAAGCAGTAGGCAAAAATGTGACTATTTTTTTTTCAAAAACCAGAGTGAACAGCTAAATCAAATATTCACTGGTCAATACATTTTTTTGTTATTAATTATGATTGAATTTGATAATTCATGCCTTACTATTCTGTACACATTTCCCTATTTTTATAAACTGGACTAGTAAATATATTTATTCATGTTACCTATCACTATCCTATCCAGGTATCCCTTGTCAAAACATTTTTGCAAATAAGTCATGAAAACTTTACTTTTAGCTACCCATTCAGGGGTTACATATAATAACTTCAGTTTAGAGTTTTCACTTATCATATTATTATGAATCCTCTTTTTATCTTCTTTAGATGTACTACCATTCAATGTGTCTGCTTGTATATTAAGTTTGCGTAAAGCCATTAATTGGTCCTCTATTAATGATATTAGAGGTGAAACAACAAGAGTAAGTCGATTATTGATAAGGGCAGGTAGCTGATACACCAGACTTTTTCCTCCACCTGTTGGCATAAGTAGTAATACATCTTTCTTAGATAAAGTTGCATTAATGGCAGCAAGCTGCTTCAATCGGAAACTCTCAAATTTGAATTTTTCTTTCAGAATAGAATGTGCCTTATCAGACCATTCGAATTTTGATTCAGTCCACTTGCTGGGATCAGGTCGATTTTTAATTTTGGCCAAACTGTACTGGTTCTGGAGGTCTTCCTTTTCGGCAGTCAAAATTTTTATTTTGTTGGCAATTTTTCTTTGTTGATCTTGCAACTCTTTAATGGATATTTCTATTTTGTTGAGCTTGTTTATAAATTCTGAAATAAAAAAAAAAGTACAATTATAACCTACATGCTCCATGTACAGTTGGATCTCACCATCTTCATTCATTGTATTTGTTTTACTCATGAGTTAAAATAATGTTAATGACATAAGCTTATTTCAGTTTAAGGTACACTATTTTTACAGTGAGTAGAAGCATTGAGTTATCCTGTTTATTGTAATGTTTACAGCAAGGAATACACAACACAGGGAATACATGAACACGAAACCAGAAATAAACATTGACCTATGTGAAGTTGGCTGCCAGACCCAGCTGCTAAATTTTCCGAACTCTACCGAACGACCAGTGGCGTGTATCCGTATTATCAGCGAAATGAATATTGTCGTATAGAAATATATAAAAACTCATAATTGATATTTGTTGCAGTAAATCGACTTGTACAGTAATTGAAATATNAGAAAATTATCTTTATAAATCAACAATTAAGGCAAAATATAAATTATAGTTCAATACACCTCCACCAGCCACATAATGAACAGTTGTTTTGTTATTTATTTATATAGAGGAAGATAGGTTAGGTGCACAAAATGTCATATGTCACAGAATGTCTCGGAACTCGGAACATAAGTAAACAGAACAGCACGCTTCTTTGATATGTCATCCTTGTTTGTCTCATACAGGTAACACATTCATTGTCCTTTATTAGCTATAACCGATGTTACCAAATGGTGAAATAGAAACGAGCTAAGGACTAACGAGGTCTTACCTTTTAACGTGTGATTCCTAACACGGTTGCAGAATCATCCCAGCTTCAACCAGATAAATTCTCTCGAGAAAAATATCTGGTCGAGGCAGGAATCGAACCCATGATCTTCCGATCATGAGTCGGGCGCACTACTACCGCGCAATTCGATAGTTATTCCACGGATCTCATCTTCATCTAAAGTATCCAGTAATGATTGGTGATTAACAGTATAAAAAGCCATCGAAACATCAAGAAAGATGCATATTCGTTCTATAATGAAATTCCAACTAACATAACTTTCTAGGAGAACGGAAGATTGCTATTTGTCAACTATGGTTCTGAAAAGTGAAACATGATATCTGTTACGCTCGATAATAAATCATACTGAAGAAGGGAAACTTCAAGTTTTGAGAAGGCCGTGATCGAATAGAAAAAAACGCTTCTCTGCTACTGCGGCGAACATCTGAACGAGACCGATAAGTTCGTTACTGAGACCTCGAGATACAACTTTCATCTTCGCAGTTAACACACATACAACTGACGATATCGCAGTAGCTGGCGAAACGTTTGGTACTATAGGCTCAATTCGAACATGCCCTACAAGCCCGGATTTTGTTTTCCGTGATCGTGACTCCGGCCGTGAAAACCTATGTTTTTATATTACTTCAAGTTATATTTGATTTTTCTATTTTTTAGATGTAGGCAGTTTTTGGTCTATGAAACGGTAAAATGAGTACCTGTAAAATTCATAGCTCTTTTTTTTTTAATGTTCGATAAGTTACTGATAAAGAGCGCAATTTTCTTTTTGAAAAATACATTGAATTTATGGAGTAACTTATGGGGGTGAACTAGAAATTTGCCCTTCCCACACCTATATAGAGTTCTCCATTATAATTTAAATTTTTTCAGATTGTGTTAAAAAACGATTGTAGATTCCTTTTATCTGAACCAAGCTGAAACTGAACGCTGCTAAACGCGTGATCAGAGAGTATGTTGATTCGCCACTCGAATCTGCCTGCTGTCTGTTATTATTGGCTTATTGTCATTCTCTCCAGTTTATGTTTACATAACAGAATCAGGTTTATATTTTGACAGAGCTTACCTTGGAGTTGACAGTCATGTCACATGTGTTGCTAGAGTTGTGTAGTGTTGCTGTACAGTTATTGAATGAGTTTATTAACTTTATTATGAATTTTCAAGTGTCAGATAACTCAAAGCAGTCGTCATTTTCTGCAGAGAGCTGATTTCCACGGTTTCAAAAATCAACCACCACGGTTTTCAAAAAAGCAGTGTTAGGTATTTCTTCAATGAAATAATTATTGAGAAATACA